GCCTCAGTAAAATAGATGGAGGGTAACAGGCATAGAACACAAATAATAACGATGTGGAGACGGTGAAGAGCGCTGCGATGCACGGGACGGTGAGCGGGCGGAGAAGAGGGGAGAAGCGGGCAGAGGACCGTGTGCTCCCTTCCGGCCAGGGGACGTGACCAAGGCCAGCTCGCTTGGAAATGACCTTTTGCTGGACGGACTGGGGATTGCGACACGGCCTTCCCACTGGACATGGACAACCTGCTTTAAAAACCTTCCTTTTGCTGGTTTGCTCAGTGGTTTCACAAACTGCTCTCCACAACCCAGACCCATTCATCCAAATAGACACTTTCTCTTAACACGCTGCGTACCGCATAGAAATCTCTAAGGCATACGCCAGGGACCGCACGTTTTGGGGCAAACTGCACGTTATTTAAATCATCATAATGCATTTTAGGTGCTGTTTTTCAATAATTATAACATTTTTATTTACAAAAACAATTAAACAAAGTTCCTAGTACTTTTTTAACGTATGGTACCGCATAGAACATTTTCCTCTATGAAGAGGGACCAAACAAATTTACATAAGTATCTAGATTCGCTCCCTTTTCCGTGGGCATGAGAAACGAGAACACTCGTGAGCGGTCCTTAACAGATGGCGCGCGGAACAAGAGACAACTCCTGAGCGGTACGAAATGTGTTAAATGGCTGCATGTTTGATGGTTGTCTGGTGCGTGTGCCCCTCCAGCCTGGAGCGGGTCCTGGTCTGCCCCACAGTGACGTCCGTGTCTCACAGATGAGGATGAGCCGTGACCTCCCCGCCTGCCTGGTGCCCATCACTGTGCCTCTGTTCTCTCCCCATTAAGGGGTGGAGTGTCTCTCTCCAAACCCTCTTGCTCCTGAGACCGTGAGATCTGCTTTGGCAAAGGGCACGTGAACAAATGCAATGCAAGCGTTGAGTGTTGCTGCGGACATTCCACTGCGACTGGCTATGGAGGACCGGCAACCTGGGCGGAGAGGACCCCGCCTTCCCAACCGTCCGGCGGAGGCCCCACACCTGCGCGAGGCCACCAGGACCACCTGGCTGGGTGCGCACAGACCAGACTGCCCAGACCACCCACCACGCCCTGAGCACGTCACTAACTGTTTAAAGCAACTGAGTTTGGGGGGCCAGCTTGCTACGCAGCCAACACTAACGAATACACTTTCTGTTTTTCTTTGTTATACGTGGTTACCGCACATTGTCAAAGGAGCACAGTGTCAACACGTGGGCCCGCAGACCATTCGCCCCCCCAGCGCGCTCCCTCCTGTAGCTCAGCAACCTCACACATCACCCCCCAGGGGTCACGACGGGGAGAGCAGCCGACACACCTCTGTTCCCAAACCGCCGGAGCAGAATCGGACACGCACCTGATGGTCCTCCCGGGGTCGGCCTCGATGACCCAGGTGCAGTGCAGGTTGTTGTCGTAGGGTGCCGGGTAGCCGGGGGACAGCAGGCGCCCCGAGGTGGCCGCGTGGATCTGCCCACCGCACTCCGCTGCAAAACACAGACGTGGGGTCACACAGGGGTCACGGGTTTATTTAGCTACAAGGACACAGCCCGCCCGTCTGTGTTTTATACATCACACACCACAGTCACCTCCCCGTCTCTATCGTTTCTTTCTGTTCCTGTTCCCAAGCATCGCTCTGAAGGAAAGACATTGTCTCTCAGGAAATTACAGCAGAGAGCATAAAACCATGAGACACGCGTGCTATAATTCTAATAATTCCCTGCAGATGGTCTCAATAAAACGGAACCAGAACATCTGCCTTTCACACCTAAACGCCTACACACAGCCCGGCCTGCGTGAGTCAGTGGCTCAGCGTTGATCTATGAACCAGGAGGTCAGGGTTGGATTCCCGGTCAGGGCACAGGCCCGGGTCGTGGGCATGATCCCCAGTGGGGGGCGTGCAGGAGGCAGCCGATCAATGCTTCTCTCTCATCACTGATGCTTCTATCTCTCGCGCCCTCTCTCTGGACCCGGTAGCCGTAGCTGGGCACCCCGGGGTCTTCGCACTTCACCAGGTCGAAGCCTGTGGGGGGAGGGGAGAGTGAGCAGGGCCACGTGGGACGCAGCCCGGGTAGGGCCACCAGGAGGGGCTGTGCTCTCCCCCGTGAAAGGTTCCAGCAGGATCTGCAAGGGGGCCCGGTGGATGCTCTTCCGTCACAGCCTGTGACATCCTGTCGCCCACTGTGGCTCCCGCATCCCAGCTGGTTGCCTCAATGTAGCCCAGACCCCTGCAGTGACCACAACCGACT